TTTAAAGTAGGTCATATTACTGATACAGACAGACATTGTTAATAGGTTCAAGAAGTTGGAGCGCCTAGTTGAATCTGTTTTGCATTTGTAATTGAGGTAAAGCATTCAAATCAGTTTCTCTACCTGTTAACTCAAAGCGCACACTCATTGGAGTAGGTGCTTCCATTGGATCCACACACAGGTTTACAGATTTAATGATGAAAAGTACAGCTGAGGCTGATGGGAATGTTATAAATTATGCAAGTATTTGACCATAAAGCAAAATACAATTTTGACTTAATGGTGGCTCTAGATGAAAAATCAGGGGAATCAATAAAGTCAGTAGAATTCATCATCTGGAGACAATGAATATCTGTACAATGTGTCTCTGGACCAAAGTGGTGGACCAACAGACCGACATTGCTATGCCTCTAGTGTAGCTAATAAACAGATGGTCTCACAGCCCAAAAAAAAGTGTACAAACATCCACAATCAAGTAGAGAGGAAAAACAAGGGACTAATTCAAATGTCTCTATTAAAAACACAGCTTTAACAACACTGCAAACATTTAGTATCAAAGTCAGAAGTTCATCAGGATCCATTTAATATATTCTTTTAACCCTCAATATGAGTAAATATAATTATGCATTTTGATGCTTTTTGTTCCTGTTTAGTTTCACATAAAATATTAATGTTTACTGATATTCAAAATGGTTGAAACTGTTGAAGAATCAGTAGGTGCTGTGTTCAAAACCTGTATTAACAGTGGTTTGCAAGTTTTTTGTCTGATTCATCGAAAATCTCCTCACCGTCCGCTAGCTGTCCGTTCTGTGTGCATGCTGGAAAAAAAAATCTGGTATTTGTACCTGGTTCTGTGAATGGGAAACAAACAAAGTGGCCACGCCACACAGTGTTGTTCCAGCCGTGATTTGTGTGTCAGGTAACGTTAGATGACTTGCCCACGGACACTCAGCTTACTTTCTAGTTCACCAAGACATGCTGTTGTTGTGATATTTGCTATTGTAGCAGGAGAGTTGTTTTTACACCAACCTGGGTGTTAAAATGGACTCTCATCTGACCTTTGAGGATCACATCAAACATCTCTGCAAGACCTCCTTCTTCCACCTCACGAACATCGCCTAACTGTCCCACACTCACTCCTGCAGATGTAGAAAAGCTTGTCCACGCTTTTGTCTCCTCCAGGCTAGACTACTGCAACTCCTCACGGGGATCCCTGAGAAAAGCCTTCAGAAGCTGCAGTACATCCAGAACAGAGGTGCTAGGATCCTGTTGAGACCACACGACCACATCACCCCAATCCTTACATCACTCCACTGGCTTCCTGTGCTCTCCTGTGTTTGTTTTTGTTTTTTTTAGCACTTACCTGTTTCATCATGTAGCACTTTGGGATTTGCTTAAATAGAAAGTGCATTACAAATTTAATTGATTATTATTATTATTAGTTGTGAGTACTGCCATCCAAAGCTGGCATGTTATAAATTAAGTATTTTTAAATGAGGTCATTCATGTTGGAGCCATTACAAGGTGCTTAATCATTCAGCAAAGTCTTGCTCCTTCCTCCGGTCAATATCTCTCTTCAGTTGGCAGGTGGCACAGACTGGACAGCACCAGGTCACCGTAAAGTCGTTACACAGTGACCCCTGGAAACACAAGTATGAGTGTGAACTTCTGTTGGACGGTGTGGAGTTAATGACACTGATCTGTGTCAGAAACCTGTTTTTGATGAAAGTGTGTACAAAGATGACTCCAGCCATGAAAATGTAAACAACTATGAAGTTTTTGTTCAGGAGTAAGTGCAATCAGCATGAGAGCATCAGAAAGTCTGTTAATATAATATCATAACTCAACTGTGAGGCAGTTGAAATACAATGTGTGGATTCATGCATGTTCTCTAATTGTTTTTCTGCATTTTACAGCTGTGGTTCCCAACCTGGGGTCAGGCTCCTCACAAGGAGTCGTAAGATTAGTCATTAATGGTGTAAAGAACAAAAAAACACAACTACAGTCTACAGTCTGCAGTGCTGTACTTGCACATGGAACAATTGTGCTTTAAGCTAATGACATCATGCTAACATGCTCAGAGTACATTTACTATTTAGCACTAAACACAAAGTACAGATGCAGATGATGGAAATATCATTAGTTTTGCAGGTATTTGGTCATAAACCAAAGTGTTGGACATTTCCAACCCATTCCCTGAGTTGAATATTTACAGCTGCGAGATCAAATGATGAGACAGATAAGCAGATAATCACATTTAACCACTTTTATTAAAACAGTTTTGACATTGATATAATCATTAAACATAATTGATCATGTTTGCTGCATGTTTTTAAATTATGTGGGAAGAAACCGGAGCACGCGGAGGAAACCCACACACTTGTTTTGTCATTGTGGCTCCTCACCGGGGTCACTGACAACTCTTCTCAGGGTACCCGCGGGGTCTTAAAAGTATTAAAAAAGTTTTAAATTTATATTCTAAAAATAAGACCTTAGAAGTATTAAATTTTGTTTACAAAGGCCTTAAATTTTTTCTTGTCCTTTTGTAGGACTAAATAAATGCTGTAACGTGATGAATGAATAAACACCTTTTGTGCGTGTGACTTTACAATTTACTCTGTTTATGGAGTTATTTATGTTTCAACATTATATGTGTGAACAGATGAGCGATCTGTGTGTAAATGTGTAATCTGTAAACACTTTCCACAAACACAAAAAAATTGTAAACTTACAAAAATCTTTAGCAAATAGAAAACAGATCTGCAAATGTACAAACAAATTCCGTGAATATCTTTAATAGTTTACAAACAAATGAACTACATTTGGAATATCTTCCTAACTTTTACAACTTTCAAATAGGCGTTTGTGAGTCCAATTTTTTATTTATAAATTGTTGAAAAGTATTTGTGAATATCTTCCTAACATTTGACACTTTCAAACAGGTATTTGTGAGTCCCGCCTGTATTTGTCAGTCTCAGTTCTTCACACACGGAGTTTTGAAACAAACTTTCTGCCAGTGGAAAGAAAATCGACTCATTTTGTTCGGCTGTTGCCTGCTGACGCCCGCAGATGACATCAAGTAAAACGGCCTCCGAACTCCCTGAAAGGGACTGATGATGAAACTCTCACCTCATCAGGCTGAGGGTTGAAATGATCTCCTGTTTACAGGAAAAAAAGGCGCACCGCAAAAAAAGTAGTAGCCTACTGTGTAGCCCAGTGAATGATTAGCCTGCTGTAATCTGACTGTTTTCAACAGATGCTATAATGTTTATTGGAATCTCGAGATGTTTCTACGAGTTATAATGTTGACAGCCAAGTTTCTGGATTGTGAAGATATGATCTGTAGCCTTTAGTGCCAAATGCGGAGTCGAGGAGGTGTAAATTTGTGGAACTAGTTAAAGAGGTGGTATTATGCTTTTTGGCTTTTTCCCTCTCCTTTATTGAGTTATATTCCTTTTTTGTGCATGTAACAGGTTTGCAAAGTGAAAAAGCCCAAAGTCCAGCCCAAAGGGAGTTACCATCTCCCACAGAAAACTCTGCTCTGAACTGCTTGAAAACAGCTCCTTTGTAGTCCAGCCCTTCACTTTTACTTGTGACGTCACAATGAAAAGCTACGTACTATCTCTGGGTACTATCTGCAATGGAAAACGGAGCAGGGCCGAGTAGTCGAGTCTATCGATTTGCGCTATGGTAGCATCTTTCGGCAAGGCAGCATAGATCGTCAGAACACCGGCAACAGTTCAACGTTTAGTCCTAAAAGACGATGCAACTCCGACTCTGTTTGGGCCTGGAAATTCACAATCACAACCTGTAAGTATGCTTTATTGGTTGTGAATTATATTTAAGATAAAAAAAAGCAATGTAACTTCACAGACTGTTCAAGTGCGGAGTTGTTGTAAACGTTGGCAGTTATAACTATAATGCTAATGTTACACCCGATGTGAAAGCTACTGAGCAAATGTTCAAATTGTTTGGCCAATTTTTATGTAAAATTGAGTTGAAATATGGTGATTTTTGTAGTGGTTTATCGTAAGATGTGGACTTGTGAGTAACTTATACCATCTGCTAGGTTACGGTCTCAGTCTGAAGCCGCTTTGATTTGGATCACACTACCTTGTTTCTTACGACCCGCCCTTCTCTGCTTCTGATTGGCTTGTAGTCCTTACCTGGGAACTGCATGTGCAACTCCCTACAAAGATTTTGTACAAGTAAGACACATCACTCTGTAGCTGAAGAGCGGAGCGTACAACACACAGGGTGAAAAGAGGAGCTGCAGCAAAATATGGTGTATTTTGAAAATTAAACCATGTAAACCTGTTCTGGTACAACCCCTAAATAAGATTTTGAACCTGAAAATGAGCATAATACCACCTCTTTAATAATGGTGTTTAGCAAAAAAGCATACCTTGACTATGAGCCGAATGTTTGTTAAAAGTTGGTGTGAGCAATGTTTGATGTGTGTTAGTAGACTGTACTGAATTTACATTTAACCATATACTTTTTTGTTTCTTGTATGGCCAAAAGCCGAGTGGACATCGGTGGTAGTTCCTGTCCTGTGGTCAACACCAGCATCAAGAAGTGGACAAAAAAAGAACAACAACGGAATTAAGAAGTCCTTACAATTACTTTCAACCACCGCACCCCATCCTTAAAAGTGATGGGAAACCTGTTCAGCAGCGCAGAAATGAATCCACTTTACTGGAACAATAATGAACCTGAGGAGTCAACAACCAGCCGAACTGAAAACAGTACAGCCTCTCAGCCCAGAGGATGCTGTATCATATAGGCTATCAATATAGGCCTTTTAAAAATAATAAAAAGTAAAGCAGGTCTCTCCCTACATTTTAACTGATCGTGTATTCATAACAGCAGCAATGAGTATGATTTTTATGAAGATTGATAGATGATTTTAACGTTTTTTAACAGCTGACTTGAACAACATTGAACCTGCAGGGCTACCGTGCATGTTATATTAATATGCAAAATGAAACACAAACAGATTCATCTCTGAAATGACAGTTTATTATTAAGTCAACAAGAAATTACAAACAATGTGTAATTTGCATTGATTACAGTCTTCTGACCGGCTACCGAAGCGCTTTTGCCCCTAGCTGCACGCGCATCCAGTAGTTTTTGTATACAAGAAACCCGTCTATATGACTGCGACGCTGTTGACTTTCACCGGCACACAGTGCAGCAACACTCATTGCTGTTTTGGCTCCCTGTGTGTGCAAAGCGAGTGTGTTTGCCAGCTGCAATGTAATGTTAAGCTAAATTAGTAAGAGAGTAATGTTGATTAGTTGCATGTCATTACTACCTATCTTGTCGAGGAATGAGATCCAAGCTAAACTGATGTCCTGGACACATACTGTACATCCTGATAGTTAAGTTAAACTATATTTGAGTTTCCAGAGTATTCTAATAACTGGTTGTTAAAGGAAGGACGCTGGTGACCACGGAGGAGCTTAGGCTAGTAAAGTTAATCAGGGATGTTAACTAGTCCTCTTAAGCAATTGAGGAGGCATTTCTTTTGGATTTTAATGTGCAAATTCAATGCTTATTATCCAGAAATCACTGAAAAAAAGATGCATCAAGATGGATCGCCGCCCTCTGAACTGTAAACAGTGACAAGGGATTCTCATACTGCCCAAACAGTATTCCCATTCAATTACTTTAAAATGTTCTTCTCTTCCACTGCATCTGTTCGGGCATGTCCATATGGTCGCGATTCATCTGTGACGACATCTGAGCCTCTTCTTACATGATGTTTTCTTGATCTCTCAACATCCTGAGAATGAGTTTCCTTGATGTAATTAATTATCACTTATTCCATGGGCCTATCTCCATCACAGTGTGAGTTAAACGGATGACTCTTCAAAAATGTGTGCTCACATGACCAGTTTCCAATTTAGTCTATTGTTGCTGAGAATCAAGGGGTGACTCAACTTCCCCACAGGCTCAAATTACTCCCCTACAGGCCTATTAAGTGTTTATTGTCTGCCATGTAACAAAAGGGAGTTGCAAACAGAATTTCTTTTTATAACCCTGTTGTAAAATGACAATTAAATTACCTTGAAAACGTTCACATGGCTTTCAAAGGCAAACGGATTAAAGTCGGAGAGACTGAGTCATATAAACTTACATGTAAAAGTCTCAAAAGTGAAAATTTTAAATTTAGGATTTCCCCAAAAGTATTAGACAGTTTAGCCCTAATTGATCTAATGTGTAATTTAAGATTATGCAGAAACACCAACCCTACTTGCTGTATCGCTTACACCACCTTAAATCAACAACAATTTTCCAGTCAACTGCTATCAGGACAATAAAACACAAGACACATAAAGTAAAAGAAGCAGTAAATCAGGACGCCTTTAAAAATCACAAGGATACTCAATTTATAGCACCGTTAAATATATATTTGTTATATTATACTGTATACCACCTAATCAAAAAATGTAAACGAGAATGAGATTGGGCTCTAACTACAAATGTTTCCAGCAATCCAGCAGATTTACAGCTTGTTGTCGTAACAGCATCTAGAAGGCATAAAGCAAACATGGGATTGTCCTTCATTTCAAAAGCACCATAAACGTGAAGATAACATGACAAATTATGATGTGGTAAATATGAGGTATAATTTAACGAGGTCATGTTTTGGAGCCATTACAAGGCACTTACACATTCAGAAAATGCCTTGCTCCTTCCTCCGGTCAATATCTCTCTTCAGTTGGCAGGTGGCACAGACTGGACAGCACCAGGTCACCATAAAGTCGTTACACAGTGACCCCTGGAAACACAAGTATGAGTGTGAACTTCTGTTGGATAGCGTAGAGTTAATGTCACTGATCTGTAGCAGAATTACTTTATTTGTCAAATGCAACAACTTCATAGGATTTTGTCCCGTTGATTTTAATAAAAGTTTCCCTTTCATTTTAAAGCTATGGTTCCCAACCTGTGGGTCAGGGGCCCCACAAGGAGTTGTGAGATTAGTCAAATGGGTCGCAAGGTTATTAATGGAAACAAAACTACGCCTACAGTCTGCGATGCTGTACTTTGGCACAGTGATGCTGTAAGTTAATGGCATCATGCTAATACGCTCACAGTGACAATTCTGATGTTTAGCAGGTATAATGTTTACTGTGTTAAACATCCTAGTTTAGTGTGTTAGCATGCTAACATTTGCTAAAGTAGCCAATAGATGCTAGTTTTGCAGGTATTTAGTCATAAGCCAAAATATTGGACATATTAAAATACTGGCTTAATGTTGATGAAAATAAGGGTTAATCAAAATTATTACAGTTCATCCTGAGAGGGACATGAATGTCTGAATTTCATGTAGATCCATTCAACAGTTGTTGACATTTCATTCTGGACTGACCGACCCACACTGCCATTAAGCCACAAAGCCACACTACAAGCATGGCAAAAAACAAAATACTGCTACACAGAACCACGTTTATTTTTTTGACCTCTCTCTTTACCTTTTCCTCACTATATAGTTTGACACTGGTCCAAATCACAAGCAGTCTGCGATGGTCTGATGATTCTGACCATTTAAAGCAGAATAGTTTTGGTAATATAACAGTAAGGCTCACTGACTAAACTACCATTAAGCTGATAATGATTAAAGCAAATAATTGCTTAAATCATTGAACTCACCCTGCCTATATTTGGGGTAGGCTTCAATATAAGTGTTACCGCTAAGCCTAAGCTTTAAGCAGCTGACGGCTACACAGAGAGTTAAAGCAGTCGATGTGCTGCGCTTATCGTGCGCGTTGTTCGGTTTAGAAAGAATGCAACAAGAGGTCAACTTCTGCTTTCTTCTCTGTCACGAGAGATATGATTTCCTAATATACAACAAACGAACAGCCACAGCCGGTGGCAGTCAAAAACTAGTTGGCTTTTCCTGTCTGGCAACAGCTGTATCTGATTGCACCTGCCCCCCTAAGTAGATGATCCCCAATTAGAAATGCTAGCATCCTAGTACCACCTATTGGCCAAACCTGGACATAAAACATTGAAATGGCTCCTACAATCAGACAAGCCTTTACATCCTTTACCATGACAGTAAATCTGAATGAATACTTGGATGGATGGAGTATTGTTGTTGTTTTACAACATAGTCCAAAGGGAGTCCTATAGTCAGCTTCAAACTGTATCAACTGAAATCTTACATTGATGTTGTATCTGGTCCTGTAGACGCTGCGGATGGGCATGCCCAGACCACACAGGCAGCACTCATCCATGTTACTGGCAATAGTACAGCCAAGGCACACATAGCAGAACAGACCGTAGCAGCCTGAGGCAGAAGGAAAAGAAATGTACTAATGAAAATATACACAATCTACACCGCGCATGCAAATGCAGTCTTAACTGTGTGCATGTCCTAATCAGATTTAATTTGTTTAGTAAATAGGAGTGCTCACATGTTCCACAGTCATCGCAGAAATCACACAGGCCGGTCTGGAAGTCAGAGGGTTCATATCTGCCTGGTTGGTTGGTCACAGCCATGGTTAATTCTCTGTGGGATAAAAAGGGCTTGTCACTGATTTTGTTTGTTCTTATCATTGTTTTTTAGCCTGAACACTGAAGAGCTAGGGCCTAGTTTGAGATCATTACTTCTGTGTTTTACCCAGCAGAGATAACTATAAAATTACAACCTCTTCTGAACATCAAACAACATTGATTTACGGTAAGTTATCCGTTTGGGATTCCCAGTCAAGCAGTCGTTAAGAGGTAAATCTTACCAGATGGTTGGAGAGTTGAAGGACGGTGAAAATGATGAAGAAGGCTCCCAGATGACAGATTGAGAGTGGAGGCAATGTGAGTTTTTATAACCGTTTAAAGCAGGTGACTCACATTGGACTTTGTCACTTTTATTGTCCAGAGCAAAGAGATCACTAAACACACCTTCACCAAGCCTACAATACTATAATAAATTTCAACAGTTTTATATCCTTTACACACTCTACACGTCATTTTTGGGAACACACACAACACAGTGGGGAAATACTGCACTTAAGTACTTCTCCTACTGAGGTACTAAATATGTTACTTTCTAATACTCAGCTGCATTTCAGAGGTAAATAGCGTGCTTTTTACTTCACTATATTTATTAGAGAAGTAGTTTCATCATTTAAAACCAACAATGAGCATATAAAATATGATACATTGTTAAACAGTAAATTAACCCACCCAGTTATATATAAATAGCTGGAATCAGCCCCATCTCAACCAACTACAGCATTAAAAGGAATTTATATTATAATATTTATATTACTGTAAAACGTGTCCAATGGTATAATATCTAACAATATAACACTGAGAGCACAATTTAGCCTGCACTACTTTTACTGTCACATGTAGGCTACTCCATAAATTTAGCCAATAATACTTCTGCACTTTTACATAAGTAATGTTTTGAATGCAGTACTTTTACAGAGTGTTGTTGCTACTGTTACTTGGGTTAAAGACCTGAATGCTTCTTCCATCCCTACCCAAATGTGGTAAATCACAAACTTTCATTGTACCTGTTATCTTGAGTTATAAATATGAAGGTTATATGGTGGACGCACCTTGCCCTGATTCACAACAGCAGATGATATTGCAAGTTATCTGAAATGAAATCACTTTGAAAGAACAGAGTACATTGGTATAAAAGTTACATGTGATTTGGGGATTATGTGAGTGTTTTTTTGTTTTTTTTTAAAAATACATTTAAAAACACTTCCAATCTTCATGCATATAAAATCCTTGCTATGCTGTTTAGACACACGGTGGCGCTGCTTCCCACAAACTAACCGACACCTACTCAGTCAGTGTAGGAGAGCATGTAATGAGGACCTGACTGTAATGATATAGGCTCTACATAATGAGCAGCTGTGACTGAAACTAAGGAATAGGCATGATTTCCAATTTCCTACAGACTAAAGATAGACATGAACTAAATTACAGCAAAATACACAAGGTTGGCATTAGCCTACACTCCACAGGAGACCCCACAATAAGATTTTCACCAGACACAGCAGATCAAACTTTCAAACATAATTTCTCACTGGCAATACATAAGTATATTCTAAAGAACCTGAGACTATATGTATTTGATTAATTTCAGGATACTATTGGGTTAAAGATAACAAACTTATGTATGTTTTTATTGCCTGTCAGCAGTTTTCATTAGTTAAATTCAAAGTTTGTGCCAAACTAATGTCAGGATATGTTATTTTCCCCCTAATATTGTTCCTTGTTGATATTTGTGGTTGCTGGGTGATCATCTCCTGTAGATCATGTCATCATCTTGAGTACAGAGATACACCTACAGTAAGTGGGTTTCCATTTTATGTTACTTTCTACTTCTACTTGACAACAATTCAGAAGGAAACACTTTCTTACTTTACTCCTCTACATTAATTTGAAAGCTAAAGTTAGTAGTTACTCTTCATATTAAGATTTTATATTAAAAAAACGTATAAGTAGTACAAAATATGATTCATTATAGATAAACTACCCAGAAGTAGTTAAAATGAGCTTCTCCCTGACCCACAAGCACCTCCAATATGTAATGACAGTAAATAATAGTAATAATTCAGTAACACTGACAGGGGCCATTCTGCATGAGTACTTTTACTTTTGATACTTTAAGTGTATTTTGTTCACTGATGGAAGACATCCTTTAGATCCAGATCCTTTACTTATGTAGAAGTATCAATAAAAGAATATAAAAATACTGTTATAATAAGAGTTCAATTCGAAATCCTACTTAAAGTATCAAAAGTAAAAGTACTCACTATGCCGGAAAACCTGACACTATTACATTGTTATTACTGACGCATCAATGTTGGAGCAGTATTTAACTGTTGTAGCTGCTCAAGGTGGAGCTAGTTTATTTTACAGTTAACGTTACTACTTTATATTGAGTTAGCTAATTTTAACTGCTTTATATACACTTAGCTAGTTTTAATCACTTTATATAACGTTAGCTAGTTTTTACAACTTTATATACAGTCAGCTAGTTTTAATCATTGTATAGAGTTAGCTAGTTTTAATTACTTTTAAAGCGTTAGCTAGTTTTTACTACTTTAGATACAGTCAGATAGTTTTAATCATTGTATAGAGTTAGCTAGTTTTAATTACTTTGTATAACGTTAGCTAGTTTTTACTACTTTATGTACAGTCAGCTAGTTTTAATCACTGTATAGAGTTAGCTAGTTTTAATTACTTTATATAATGTTAGCTAGTTTTTACTACTTTAGATACAGTCAGCTAGTTTTAATCACTGTATAGATTTAGCTAGTTTTAATTAAAGTGTTAGCTAGTTTTAACTACTTTATATACAGTCAGCTAGTTTTAATCACTGTATAGTTAGCTAGTTTTGATTACTTTATATAACGTTAGCTAGTTTTTACTACTTTAGATACAGTCAGCTAGTTTTAATTACTTTATATAACGTTAGCTAGTTTTAATTACTTTATATAACGTTAGCTAGTTTTTACTACTTTATATACAGTCAGCTAGTTTTAATTACTTTATATAACGTTAGCTAGTTTTAACTACTTTATATACAGTCAGCTAGTTTTAATCACTTTATAGAGTTAGCTAGTTTTAATTACTTTATATAACGTTAGCTAGTTTTTACTACTTTATATACAGTCAGCTAGTTTTAATTACTTTATATAACGTTAGCTAGTTTTAACTACTTTATATACAGTCAGCTAGTTTTAATTACTGTATAGAGTTCGCTAGTTTTAATTACATTATATAACGTTAGCTAGTTTTTACTACTTTATATACAGTCAGCTAGTTTTAATCACTGTATAGTTAGCTAGTTTTAATTACTTTATATAACGTTAGCTAGTTTTTACTACTTTATATACAGTCAGCTAGTTTTAATCACTGTATAGTTAGCTAGTTTTAATTACTTTATATAACGTTAGCTAGTTTTTACTACTTTATATACAGTCAGCTAGTTTTAATCACTGTATCCAGTTAGATAGTAAATTATTTTTTTCTGCCAGTTTCGACAACTCTGCCTTTGACTGGTTAATACTCGTGGCCTTCGTTGGTTAGGATTGCCTAAGGTTAGGTTAGTATTAGGATTAGCTAATCAGAAGCATACACAGTTAACTAGTTTTAACTACATTATATACACTTAGCTAGTTTTAACTACTTTGTACAGTTAGGACTAGCAGTTTTAATCACTTTATATACAGTTAAGTTAGCTAGTTTTTACTATTTTATACAGTTAGCACTAGCTGTTGTAATCACTTAATATACAGTTAGCTAGATTTAACTACTTTACACAAGGAGTTTAGACCTAGGGGTTGGGTCCCTTCAAAAGGTCACTGTAAATCTGAGGGTCATGAGATGATTAATAGTTGGACTTTTCTCTATTCTTTGCATTTCTGTGAAATATTAATTTCACCTCCTTGGGCCTCGAACTGTTACTAAGTAAGTACTGTCTGGGAAGTAAAAAGGACTAGATATATAAATATAGTGTAGTACACAGTTTTATAATGTGGTATTGCTACATTTACTAGAAGTAAATCATCTGAATGTGAAATCCCCCACCTACTCCATTAGCGGGGTAAAAGAGCTGAAGTTTATGTATATTGGTGTTATTTCAGGGCAGAACTGATAGACATGCGCACAGCTGATCGAAGAGAGGCACATCTGCACTGACGTCACCCCCCCCCCCCCCCCCCACACACACACACACCCACCCCTCCGAAAAAGCTGCCAATTTGAAGCTGACCTGACTGGGACATACCCGGTCTCTGCAATGTAGTGAGGAGGAGCAGCTCCAAGCCAACTTTTGTTGGTGTTTGCATGCACTTTTCTGAAAATCAGTCTGCTGTGGCGGCTGTACCCTCTGCAACTTCAACTTACTTTTTAAGCCACTCTGAGCCACCCACAAGAACACAAAGTCTAGAATATAAAGACGACAGATGGGCTGAAAATAGACCCTTCTGCTGGAGGAAATCCAAGAGTTTGAAAACCTGAATAACTACTTTTTGTTTTGTGACAGTGCCTAGCTTTAGGATACTGCTGCTCCGGGTGTCTGGTCTGAAAGGGGGACTCACATTGCAGCTTTTAGAGGATGGCAGAGACCAAAAGGAGATGAAAAGAGGAGAGCAGCAGAGGTTTGTGTGCGGAACTTCAGAGCTGCAGAAGTCCTTTGTCCTGAGCTCTCCCTGCACAGTTGGACCGAAGCTGACAATGGAGATGAGCGTGGTAACTATCTGTTAACTCTCCCGTCTGTAAAAAGCAGGACGATATCTTTGTCAGGTAGTTTTTGTCGGAGCAAGATTCGCGTGAGCATTTAAATCCTCTCAGGGAAGCAGACTGCGTTTACAAACCAGCATTTAGCCAGTTGTTCTGGTCATGTTGGCTCTGCGAGTTCAGAAAGACCTTTTTTGGGGGGGCATTTGCGTGGAAAATGTGTACTTTAGCGAACATTTACGCATCGGATCCACATCTGCATGGTGTAAGTAGTGCAACGTTACCGGTCAAACTAACTAAACTTCTTGACAGAGCACGCTTCACGCCTTTTGCAACAACGCCAAAATGATTCAAAGCGACGTCAGGTGGTTTATTTTGATTTGCAGACGCTCCTTGAGGGTTGTGTTTGAGGTACCGGTGTAATGCACACGGGCCGGCTGCCAACTGTCTGGGTCAGAGTGGCCAAGTAAGTAGCGCTGTCTGTCTGGAGCGCTGGAGCTGAAGAAATGCACACGAAACCCCTCTTTTCCAAAGGCTGTCATCCGGTCACTTTCATTGGACATCATGCGACTATCACCTGGGTCCGCTGACGTTTGTTTATAGTTTGCACACGTGAGGCGCGTCAGTGAGTAAAACCACAATCTGCAGACGTGAAACCATGTCGACTAGTCAGCACCGTTATTCATCTATTTTAATGTTGTTATTACACTGCATAGCCTCGTTGTTGTCCCTCTGAATTTTCAGGTC